AACTCTACCTTCTTGAGGGAAATTTGATACAGTGATGGAAATAATCAGCTCACAATATCACAGGCCTGGTCATCTTCCCCCATCATATGAGGCTTGTAAAGGCTAAGTCATTAATAACTACAGAGTCTTTCAAATCAATCAGCTTTTTATGATGTTTTATCCAATGAAGATCAGGAGATTTAGGATTAAAATTGTCAATGAAAAATTTGAAAATGGTATCTTACTTAATCCTTTTCTTCCTATTCTAGATTTTGGGCTTTTTTTTTTTTTCAGTGATACAGATACATATTTAGACATCTCCAACGGAAGAGTGTACTCTGCCAAAGGATTAAAAGATTAACAAGATTAAAAAAAAAAAAGCTTCCCTGTGTTACAACGGACTCTCACCTCTAACGTTGCAGCAGATCATTTAAAGTTCAGTATGTCACAGACTTAGAAACAGAGATAACTTCCAAACAATGCCAGGTAGCATCGTGGCTACAAAAGGGAGCAGCAGACCAGGGTGCAGTCTTGCTGAGGAAGCAAAGCCTGGTAAACACCACTGTTAGGACACAGCAGCGCAGGCTGATGGGGGGAGGATGCCTCGAGAACTCCCACAGCCCCGCCTTTCAGCTAATTCCACCTACATGACGTCTGAGAGGGGTACGATCATTTACAGATGCATTTTAATAAATGCTTTTATAAATGTTACTGTGTGTTTTTAAGCGTTAGGTAAAGATGTTATTGTAGAAGACATCTTTTTTTTTTTGTTTTTTGAGTGGGGGCTGTCTAAAATCCTACGAGAAGGCGGTCCTCTCCATTGTGTATAGTAATAGAGAGACAGAGGGCCCCACTTCTAACCATGAAAGCGTAAGGTCGGTGGTGGGGGTCCCTCTGTGCCCGGCAGTGCGTGTCTGAGCAGCTGATGGAAGCTCAGCCAATCAGCTTCTCCTTTCAGGGATTGTGAATCCCAGATGAACAGAAGGTTGGGACTCTAGCTCGCAGCGTCTATAAAGGCAGATGCACATCTGAGCCATCTTTGCAAAATGTCAGCAACTGAGCTTCTTGCACTGGGGTATCTGGGCTGCCTTGGCTCAGATATTCTTTTCCCAAGTCTTATTTCCATCCTTCCATTTCTGAGTCTGCATGTCCTACTAATGAATTCCTTTTCTATCTCTGCTTGTGATGAAGAATCATCACTAATACAGAAACGTCACCTCTTCACTGGATGCATTTTTTTAGTTAATTTTTTATTGGAGTATTGTTGATTTATAAAGTTGTATTAGTTTCTGCTGCACAGCAAAGTGATTCAGTTATATGGGCTTCCCCAGTGGCACTAGTTGTAAAGAACCCCCTTGTCAATGCAGGAGACATAAGAGACACAGGTTCTATTCCCTGGTCAGGCAGACACCCTAGAGGAGGGAATGGCCACCCACTCCAGTATTCTTGGAATATTCAGTATTCCAGAATCCCAAGGACAGAGGGGCCTGGCTGGCTATAGTCCCTAGGGTCTCAAAGAATCGGACATGACTTGTGACTAAACAGCGACACAAGGAGGGAGGGATCCAGGCTCTTGTCTCTTGATTGTCGTTTAGTAATGAAATGACCTTGATTTTCGTTTGGTTCAAAACGTTTTTTTCCCCTTTTGCCTTCCCCCGGGATTGTCCCCCCCCGTTAGGGAGGCGGGGTTGGTCCCATTTGCCAAAGGCCCTTCCACAAAAGAGTCTGTGAACCTGGAGCTGGATTTCTCACCATGAAGTCGGAGAGCTGGACTAAGGTCCTTTCCAGGCTAAAATTTCACTAAACAATAAGCCAAATCTCAAATTCCTTAAAATATGGTGTAGGAACACATAAAAATATGAAGACAGAATACCAGGCAAATCAGTTTATAACTTCCTGATAGAATTGATCTTAGGAGTATTAATTCTTCCTTACAAAAAGAGATATACTGTAAAAAAGGGACATTATAAAATGTTTTTCAAAGGTTAACTTCAGTTTGGTCTGATGCAAAATATTGGAACTCTTTCAGGAAGTATGCCTGTCAAGAACCAAAGGGAAAAAAATTATTTCAAGGAAATTAACAGTGATGAGAAATGAAGTTCCATTTTATTCCTTGGGAAGATGAATCTGTTCTGTACATCTGATTTTAGTCAAAACATAAAGAACAATGTGTTCTCTAATCAAGTTTTATGTGTGTGTTGAATTTTCTGATTCATGGTAATTGAACCAGAAAAGGTAAAGCATATTATTAGTGGACAAATTACATAGTAAAAACTAAATTAGCCTAGACTCTCAGCTGCTTCATTATAAAATTAGGTAGGAGAGGTCATAATTATTTAATTTGTGTCCAAATCTCAGCTGGAAAATGTTCCAAATGAACAAACGATCCAAGTAATTTTAGGAGAAGGGAAAGTCCTTGTAGCCAAGATTATAAAATCCAATATTGACAGACATAATTAACATACTACCTTCCTGACCATATCTCAAGAGGTGTTTGGACAGGAAATCTAATTCTCTAAAGATAAATGCTCTGTTATTTTTTTAAATCGTAGCTTAGTGAAACGTATCATTTCCTTGACATGCTGTCATCATAAGAAGCCCTTCCTGACACATCCCTCAAAGTTGTTGACATTGGATGGTTGCTTCTGTTGGTTAATATGGGCACTGAACTATAATAGAAAATAGATATATTATGTACACAAAACTGGATTTGTTCTTCCATTAAAGTCATAAATTGTGGAACCTGAAATAGCCTTTCGAGCTATTAGCGTGTTTTCTCATGTTGTAGATGAGGAAACAGGCCCAGGCAGGTGAACAAAATCTCGACAAACCTCGCGGCTGATGGATGTTGGCGCCTTGATGAAAGGAGAGAGTCATCGCCCTCAGCCCAGGGTTTTCCCGTCATTGCGTTTTACCAACACTCTCTTTATGAACTGACTTCCAGCTTACAAGGCCCCATTCACGACAGTGAGCCGTAATACCCAGACCAAGAGTAGGTGTGGCAGGGGGAAATGCAGAAGCAGTTCAAGAGGGTGGCTTCTTTTTTCTTGGAAAATAAATATTTCTGCATATTTGTTGGAAGAAGAACATTAAGCTGATCAGTCAGTCTGCAGCAGGACTGGTATGTTGGAAATGGAACACAAGGCTTTCCTCCTATAGCTGAATTTGAGTGTGCATAAACTGAATTTCCTTGTCTGGAAACTCTCAGACTAGACTAACCTTATGAACTAATATGAGTGTATAGGTGAGGGAAATTAGGTCAGGTCCAAAAGGCAATCAGGTAACTGATCACAAATCAGAATGAATATGGATTCACAACAAAGGCAGAGATTTAGTGTTGTAACTCACTGGACAGTATTAGGACCATGTTAGAGTCTGTGATGAAGAAGTGTCCCAGACAAACTTATATAGAGGGAAACAGTACAGAAGGACAGAATATGTTTTAATCCAAGTACAATCCAGACTTTGATTCTCCTTTTAGTCAAATCTTCTTTCCCCATCTCTGTGTCCCTCTCTTTTTCTCCCTCTCTCTCTTCCAGCTCATATTCTCTTTATGTAGGATTTTTTGCTTCCATTGCTTTATTGCTCTTTTTTACTTCATTTCTGAGAATGGATGTCTACAGCAAAGTATAGAAAAATGTGATAATGAAGATAAAAAAATTATTTTGAGATGAAAATTATCAGATGCATGTTTCTTTGTGTAGCTCCAGGACAAAACTGAGGTGTGTAGGAACATTTTTAAGAACCTAGACAGGTGATTCAGTGGAGAAGGAAATGGCAACCCACTCCAGTGTTCTTGCCTAGAGAATCCCATGGACAGAGGAGCCTGGTGGGCTGCCATCTATGGGGTCGCACAGAGTCGGACATGATTGAAGTGACTTAGCAGCAGCAGCAGACAGGATATTCACTCCCTTGAACTTGCTTTCTTAAGTTCTCCAGCTCATTCTCCAAAGATGCCCTTTGAAGGCTTTGCATTTGCCCTATGGTGAGAGACTGGCACTTATAAGCATCCACCCAGGGATGTTCTAAATGTACTCTGCCACTAAGTGCTCATATAAGAACTTAGAGCATTTTTTTTTTCTTCTTGGGAATCTCTTGCAGCTTTATCCCTGTGCAAAGATCTGAGATTCTTTCAAAAGTCCAAGATTGATTTTTGGAGAAGATAAATGAAGGATTTTCTAGCTAGCCAAGGAACAGATTCTCTGATTAAATGTCAGATTAGGAAAAAAAAAAATACCCTGCATAAGGTACTGTGACAATTCTCTAAAAAGAAAGACTGTGAGAAGGACATAGATATTTTAAAATAGAGTTATAGCCTTCAGAATTTTCATCTTCTATAAAGTCCTTGTGGTTGATATAAGTTTAAAAATATGCACATGTGCAGAACATTTCAGATTCATTTATGCAGAATTATGTAACACTTGGAACAACTCCCTTAAATTCCCATGGATTACGGGGACATAACATTTTACAAATTATATTTGTAAATATCCCATCTTCTATATTATTACAAATTCTCAAAGTATACTAAATATGGAAAGATAGCATGATAGTATTTTTTCTCTTTTTTTTTTTTAAAGGAGAAAGTAGTAGAATTTTTCTATTATTAACTTGCCACCTCAGATAGAAATGATCATTTTCTTATGATTTAAAAATATTGTAGTGACTGGCCAGGTCCCCAGCATTTACTGTTACTTAGCCCTCCATCGGATTTTTCAAGATAAGATCACACATGACTTATCTAAACATTTCTATGCACATGCTAGTCATTTTTAAAAGCTCACCATTGAGACCTTAACCCACTGTTCTTTGAAAAAAAAACTGCAAGGTTGTTCAGAAAACTTGCTCAAAAGCGATCACTTGTATCATGGTCCCTCTCCACACATCTTACCAAAATGAGACAAATCGACAGTCAGAACACATATATCGATATCTAAAGCCTCATTGTTCCCTTTCTCCAAATCCTAGACAGGCTTCCCTTTCACGTGAAAATGGAAAATGTGCCGAGAGCACGGCCTTACCTACTTCCCACTTGAGGAGGCTGTTGTCTTCCCTCTCCATTTTCCCGATGACGTACCAGATGCACGCCATCCAGTGGGCCAGCAGGGCGAACATGGANTTCTGTGTCATTTCTTGACATAGTTCCCGGAAGTTGGTAAGAGAAAGACGGGGAGGACCGTTTGATTCCTCTGAGTGCTTATCTGCCTTAAGACTTAGCTTTTCCCCTGCGTATGGGACTGAACAGAACTTTCTAGAACTCTGATACAGCGCTGAAACACAGGCTGGGATTAGGACGGAAGAGGAGACGTGCCCACCCTCTTCATCTTGTTTTTCATTCACTTCCCCTCTTCCATGGAACGGAGCCGCTTCATCAGAAAACGGTACAGACTGGTCAGTATTGGAGTGGTAACGCGATAACTTAGGTTTCTCGTTTTTAAATAACGAGACCTAAAGACCTGAGTAAGGTCCTCTCACAAATACCAGCAGCGCCCCTGCCTCCCGCGCTTTGCTCTCTATACCGCATTGCTAATAGAAAACATTTGCCTGAAGCACAGATTCTGAGCTCTCTGCTCAACAAACATGCTTAGGGAACCAAAAGCAAATGGAACAACGTTTTGGAAAAACCTCCTAGATTCTGCCTTTGTATGAACTTAAACAAAAAAAGTAGACTTATAGTTAAGGGGTTCTTTTCCTGACTTTAGGGCTCAGCTGAAAAATGCCCACCATGAAGCCCCCCAGAAAGGCCAATGTCTATTGACCCAATGCTGTTACTAATCTACACTCTTCTCACACCTTCTGAGACAAAGAAGAAGTCAGATAATATATTAACTCATACACAAACAGAGTTTGACAAATTCCTTAATCTATTCTAATTTGAGGGGTGATCCACAAATAAAGGGCAAGGAAGTGGTTTGTATGATTACACCTAAGAATAATTTTCCTTTCTAGGCAGAATCATAAACAAGGCCAGCATCTTTGGAGAGTTTGCCTTTATAATTATTTGGAGTCGATTGACTTACAATTTCTCCCTCTTCCTGTCATCTTCCCTTATCTACAAGAAGAAGTGTACTTAGAAAAATGCCTGACATATAGTGAGTGCTCAATAAATTTCTATTAAATGAGTGAATGGATAAATGGTTAGGTGAAGATACAAAACGCCCAGGCTTACTATAACAATAGGTATTCATTAAAAGTGTTTTCAGTTGTCATCTTGTGAGTTATTCTGTATTGAAATATAAACACATTGGAAGGATGGGAATTCCCTGGAGATCCAGGGGTAAGATTCCATTCTTCCACTGTAGGGGGCCCAGGTTCCATCACTGGGCAAGGAACTTAAGATCCCACAAGCACTGAGGCACCGCTAAAAAAAGAATAAAATCGTAAGGTCATTTTATTGAGGAACTTGCCAGGTAGCTGTGGTCTTTTATTCCATTTTGTCAGTTTCTAGGTTGAATTATACTTTCTTCTCCTTCACCACCAAGTTCTCATCTATCTCTTCTGCAGCCCATTATAAGCCAGATGCAGTCTCTGCCTTGCGGCTTAGAGGAATAANGAGACCTAAAGACCTGAGTAAGGTCCTCTCACAAATACCAGCAGCGCCCCTGCCTCCCGCGCTTTGCTCTCTATACCGCATTGCTAATAGAAAGTTGAGTTTTACTTTCTTCTCCTTCACCACCAAGTTCTCATCTATCTCTTCTGCAGCCCATTATAAGCCAGATGCAGTCTCTGCCTTGCGGCTTAGAGGAATAACGAGGCATGATGTTATTTTATAGGTAGGCGAGTTTGATAGATAGATGACAACCTTGTACATACAGTGAAACCTGGAGCAGAAGTCTCAGACGGGGACACCATCTACTGTGGACTGACCTGTGTCCCTGCAAATGTCACATCTCTAAACCCTAAGCATCAGCGTGACAGTACTTAGAGACGGGGTCTTTGGGAGGTTTACATGAGGCTCATTTGGTTTACACGAGGTCGCGAAGGTGGGGTCCTCGAGGTGGGATTTACGTCTCTGTAGGAAAGGCCCAGGGTCCCCTCTCTCTTGTTTTCCCCCCCTTTTTTTTCTTTCCTTGCTTTCCTTTTTTGGGGGCCACGTGAGGGCAGCTATCTGCAAGCCTGGAAGAGCTCTCACCAAGAGCCAAACTGGTGCACACCTTGATCTGAGACTTCCCAGGCCTGAGGGCTGCGAGAAACAAATTCCCGTTGTTGAAGCCAGCGGTCTATGATACTTTGCTACAGCTGCCTGAGCAGACTAACACAGCATCGTGAACACAGAGTATGGATGCAGGCAAGCTGCCTGTTTTCTCTGAAAAGGGATGTTTGGGGGATGTATGTGGAGCTGCCCTTCCACAGGAACAACAGCCGTTTGCAAAAAGACATGAAAAGAGAGATAAGCCTGGGAGCCCAGGAAGAGGCAGCCCGGGGGATTTTACTGGCAGTTTTATAAAATTACATGTATTCCTCCTGGAGTCAACAACTCCCTGCTGTAAAACATACATTTGGGCTCTTGATGACTGGTGCAAGAAAGAGGCATATTTGATTTAGAGGGAAATATATAATCTGAAAAAGAGAAAGGATTCTTCTTATTCTTGGGACACTGCTATAAACTTGTCACTGATGAGAATTACAAGCACCTTGTAGATAGCTACAGGACAACGAGGGAATGCCTTCATTAAAAACTCCTACGAATTAGCAGTTTCCCCCACTTACCAGGTGGACATAACCATCGCTTGGTTATCAACTAGGGAATAAAAAAAAGAGCAAAAAGCTAGTTAACATGTGCTGAGGTCTTTCTAGGTATGAGACACTTGGCAAAGTATTTTACGGAAAGATTGCCTTTTTTAGGCTGCTCAGAAACCCTGCAGGAATTTTATGGTTTGGGGCCTATTTTGACATTAACTCCCCCAGGAAGTCACTTAGATGGTAAGCGACAAAACTTGAATTCATACATTTGCCTTCTTCACTCTATCATACTTTCTATGACTCATTCATAATTTTATGTCAAACCTTTCATAGTGCCTTATACATAGTGAGTTTCAATAAATAAATAGGTAAGCTGTGCGCAAAACATTTGCCATCAGCAATTGTGGACACAGCCAAAACTAAAATCTGTAATACATTTTTGATGGTTGTCATACATTTTTGAATGTCACCTATGGAGATGCACTAACTGGATCCATTTTAGGTCTAGAAAATCAGCACTTTTCTTTCTTCATTTGTTTGTTCCTGCTTTTCTTTTTAAGTCTGTGTAGTATAACAACAGTATAACTCATAGACTTTTCCTCACAGCTTATGCTTTCCTGGGAAATAAATGTAATATTTTAAGCAAGCTTTTCTATTCAAATAGAATATTTGATACTGACTAATTTATTGGGAGGAATAACAAACTTATAAGCCAATTTGTTAAATGATTATATGCTCACCCCTATGAAAAGCAGAAAGAAATATCACTGATAACAGACTCCTTCCTTCCTTCTTTTTCTTACTTTCTGACATACATATGATCTATAACTTTGCCTTTATAAAGAATTCATGCTATTTCATAAATGAAAAGATAGCAAAAGCATAGCGAAAATGTACAAGCATTTAAAGTTCATCAAATTATGAGAATTAGACTGCTTAAAAAATTCTTTACCCATGTTAATTTTAGGCAATTAAACTTTTAATCATATCTAAGCATCTTATGTATTTTATATTATATATATTCAATACTTTATATTATATATTTTTAAGATTATGCTATTTGTTCAGTGCCCAAAGAAAAATGGAATATAAAAATTATTATTAGTATTTAGAAGCAGAGCAGCAAGTTGATTTCCAGCAGAGTCTATGAGACACCATTTATTTAACAATTCTCCAGGATAATTTGGAAAAATTTTCTTATCATTTTATGCATTATATATTTTTTCGGGATATTTTTTGGCAGTCTTGCAGAAGCCTTGTTTCAAGTCATTATACTTTCATTACAGTGTACTTATCTAGTCAAATTCGGTCTTGAAAAGCACTTTAAAAAGTTCAGATAGCAATTCAGTTTAACACTGATTGATATTATATACTAGATTTTCCTCAGAGCTTTCCTTTCGGTTGAGTTATAAACCTCTTAGTGATGTTGACACTCTCAACTTCCCAACTTAAAAAAAATATGTGGAAAGAAAAAGAAAAGAAAAGTACTATTATGCAGGCAATTAACAAACGCACAGATTTGTACTAAATAGTCAGGAGTACAGTTCAGTCTTCATTCTGAAGTAAGTAATGACCGTACTTGAAATATTGATCACTTTGTTTAATATTGAAAGCTATGTTTTTAAATTCTTGATAGAGACTATAATTTCTTTCGGGAAGGTTTGTCAACGTTTAATTTGAACAAATGCTTGGTAAATTTTTGCCTGCTAAAATTGGTTACTCTAGCAGCAAATTGCATGACTGGTCCAAAAATGCTATTATACCTTTTTGAAAGTCTGTTTATAAGGGAGCATTTAATGCTTTTAAGAGTGTCAATTATTAGATAGTAAAAATAGCTATGATTACAAGTGAGCATACTTTTTTCCTGTAAGAATTCATGAAAATAAATGCTCTAGATGAATAAAGAGAAGTTAACAGGTATCAATAAAAATTCAAGAGAATGCTTGATTTCTGCTGGTCATTTTATTATTTAGAGTTTTGCTCAATCCAGCATTTTCACAAGGACTCACCACTGTGACGTTGAAAGCATACAGGAGGTCAAACGGCAGGGCAGCGATTAAATCGATGATGAACCAGGTGGTGACGTAGTGGATGCAGATTGATCTTGCTTCAAAGATGACTTGGCCAGACTTGCTGACATAGGTTGTTCGAAAATTTAAAATAATATCTGATTGAGAAAAAAAGAATAGAGAAAGTGAAGTTAGGAGAAAGAGAGGGAGGCGAAGGAAAGACAGGAAAGAAGAGAAGAAGGAAGGAAGACAGCTAGTGGGCGGGAAGAAGGAAGGGAGGAAGACAGTTGTGTTAAGTCAGACAAACAGCCACCTCTTAGCTTATTTCAGATCGACAACATCCAAAACACTCTTTTTGACAGATCCAGTTCAACTCACAAAACAAGCATTGGAGAAGGGTGAAGAAAGTATTTTTTAAGCACTTCATGCATTCCAGACTTGGGCCACATGTTAAAATTCAAAATAAATAAATAATAAAAAGAACAATAGGCAACGAATATTAGATAAATTCTCACTATGAATAGACATTGTCCTAAGAACTTGGTATAGGTTCCCTTCCTCCCTGGAACACCTTCTAGTAGACGACTGTATTAAAGAGGCAGAAACCACGTCTCAGTGGGAAAAGTAACTCATCCGTGATCATCTTGGCAACAGCGGCAGAGACAATTTTGAACACAGGTATACTTGTAGTCCGTATTCTTTTAAATTTTTTTTTCCAATAGTACACTATTGTGCATACAAAAGCTTTAGTAACCTCTGTATGGATATGAAATTCATCCCTTCCCTGAAGGTGCTTGTATTCACAAAATATCAGAAATTTCTTGTTTGCATTTCTAGGTTAAATTCCCTATTCCATTTAAAGGGAAGAGGCAATCATTTTTCAATCTTTCCTCATATCATCCTTCTAATATACTGAAATTTTATGTTTATTTTATATTTGTATTTATTTTATACTTGTATTTCACTATTTATTAAACTTTTTATAATATATGATACCCTTGTGAGTGTTGGTCAAAGGACAAACCCATAGCCGTGTGGATCGTCTAGAACTCAATCAGGCTGCCTATGAATAAACTTCTCTGAGTCTGTCACATGTTTCCTGGATTAAATATCACTAAAGCGTTGGGAAAGTTCAGTTTTTCCTTAATTTGCCTTATTTCTCAATTTAGTTTTTACATTACACTGGAGTGTAGTTAATTAAAAACGTTGTGTTAACTTCAGGTGTTCAGCAAGCTGAATCAGTTACACATATATACACATCCTTTCTTTTTCAGATTATTTCCCCATACAGGTTACTACAAAAAGTGAGTAGAGTTTCCTGTGCTATACAGTAAGTCCTTGCTGATTATCCATTTTTTAAAATTTAAATTTACTTATTTTTAAATGGAGGGTAGTTGCTTTACAATACTGTGTTAGTTTGCGCCATGCATCATCATGAATCAGCCGTGGGCAGACATACGTCCCCTCCCTTCTGAAGCTCCCTTCCAGCTCACAGTCCCCCCATCCCACCCTCCTGGGTTGGCACAGAGCACTGGGTTGAGCCCCCGAGTCAGCCAATTTCCACTGGCTAGCTATTTTACACATGGTGATGTATGTGTTTCCATGTTCCTCCTTCAGTTCATCCTTTCCTCCCCTTCCTGCAATGCGTCCACGAGTATGTCAGTGTTAATGAGGTGGATGAACCTAGAGCCTATTATACAGCGTGAAGTAAGTTAGAGAAAAACAAATATTGATATTCACACACATGTACGGGATCTAGAACCTATTTGCAGAGCAGCAGGGGAGATGCAGACATGGAGAACACTCGCTGGTTGCCTATTTCATATATGTCATGCGTGCTAAGTTGCTTCAGTCAAGTCCAACTCCTTGTGACCCTATGGACAGTGGACCATCAGGCTCCTCTGTCCTTGGGATTCTCCAGGCAAGAGGACTGGAGTGGGTTGCCATGCCCTCCTCCAGGGGATCTTCCTGACCCAGGGATCAAACCCAGATCCCTTACATCACCTGCATGGCAGGTGGGTTATTTACCACTAGCAGCACCGGAGAAGCCCATCTTATATATGTATGACGTATGTATACGTCAGTCCCAAACTCCTGCTTTATCCCCCACCACTTTCCCCTCTGGTAACCCCAAGTTTTTGTTCTTCTTCAAGTCTGTGAGCCTGTTTGTTTTGTAAGTAAGTTCATTTGTATCAGATCTTAGATCCACATTTAGGTGATAACACATGATACTTGCACTCTCTGTCTGACTTAGCTCCCTCAGTATGACGCTCTCTAGGCCCAGCCATGTGGCATTATTCTGTTCCTTCCTATGACTGAGTAGTATCCCACTGTATCTACGGACCTCATCTTCTTTATCCATTCATCTGTCGATGGACACTGAGGTTGCTGGTTAAGTACAACTGACCTATGGGGAGTTTCAGGGTTGGTGTGTCCCTGTAAATGCGATGAAGGCTGAGCTCTTTATGAACTACTGGTGACTCCAACTGAAGTGCATTTCTCTGAGGGACTTTGTTCATGGGGAGTGTCATGATTTAGGAACAAAGATCAAAGGGTAGAATGTGGGAAGTAAACGCCCTAAAAAGAATACAAATTTAAGGAGTTAGGAATGACATAATTTCCAAATTTTTGAAATTACAGTACTCTTTATAGCTAATTTAAGCCATTGAAAATAAGTGGAATAGTGTGGTATGAGGTTAAAAACTTGTTGCTATCATGATCCTAATGATAACAATAATGAAATTACAATAATGTGCATTTCATATTTGTATATCACTTTTACTTTTCACTTCTTGTCACATTTGAAGGCAGAATTCTGTTTCCCTCCCCTGTATCCTCTCCCATCCACCCACCACCACCTCCCATCTCTTCCCTGAGTCAGGGTGGATCCTGTGAGCATGACCAGATATCAAGACATGATCACACTACCTTATAGGGCTAAGGGAGGTGATCTGTGTGGCCTAACCTAATGCGGCGAGCCCTTTAAAGCAGAGTTTTCTTCCTCTGGTGTAAAGGAATTGGAAAGCAGTGAGGCACGCTCTTCCTGGCCTGGAAGAAAGTGGCTGTCACAGGGACAGATTACATGGTGGGAATGGCAGGCAGTGTCTATTGGCTGGGAGAGATCCCTCCTAGATATCCACCAAGGAATGGAGAGCTTTGTTCCACAGCCATGAAGAAATGACATGTGTTCAACAGCCACCTGGGACTGTAAGAGAATCCTGAGATCCAGGAAAGAAGAAAAGGTGACACCTCGGTTTCAACCTAGTGAGGCCCTGAGCAGAGACTTCAGCTAAGCTAGAACTGGACTTCTGACCTATGGAAGCTATGAGATAATGGATGGGCATTGTGTTAAGATGGTATGTTTGTGGTGACTACGTAGCAATACAAACTAGTACAGAATTTACTAAGTCATCTGGTTTTCATTGTAGCCTGTGAGATGAGATAATATAGGAATTATGACAAAGCAGATTAGTATTACATTATTACAGGTAACACATATGTTCTTAACACGAGCCCAGTGCTGCTCCAGGGCCTTCAGAACCATCGCATCATTGACTTCTTATAACAGTGCTAACTGGTAAGCGCTTTTGTTAACAACTTTCACAGATGAGAAAACTGAGGCTGAAAAGAAGTCAAATGATCTCTCCAGGATCACACAGACAATGAAACTGAAGCACAAATTAAACCTCACAGCTAGTTAGGGAAAGAGCAAGTCCCAGTCCAAGTCTCTTGAGTTATAATTGTGCGCTTTGGGTTTTGATGTCCTAACAGAGACCAGTCATATCTCAGCTCTGGAACGAGGTTCTAGGTGACTCAAAAAGAAAATATCAATTGTTCTAGACTATTGTGAATGATTTAACTTATGAAGAAGTCGTATTTTTGTCAAGGGAGAAAACTATTTAAAAATACTTCCCCTGTGAACACTGAGAATTATGTTAGAGAATGAACGGATGAAGCTACTTGATGAGCCGCTCACGAAGGACAGTCCCAAGGTGGTTTTCACCGGAGTGAAAATGCCTTCGCACGAAACACCGATGCCCCGAGACACGCCACCGGGGGTGCTGGGAGCTCAGGGGAAGGTGTGAGCTGCTGGAGCAGCGGGTGGACTCTCCATTCTTTCTTTCTAACTTTCTAAACTCCTGGATCTGCGCGTTAGCAGAGCAATTTACCAGCGTAGACCACCAGCTGTTGAAATAAAGCAGAGATTTCAGCTTCACAGTTTTTATAAGGAAGCTCAGGCTAGGCATTTAGATTGCCGTCTTATGAGGGAGAAATCCAGAGAGTTGTTTACCAAGCCCTTCAGTGAGGTTCCGTTTCCAGAACGCAGGCTAAGCTGAATCAATAACCTCATTATCAAACTGAAGGGGAAAGTTGTCTTGTGTATTTACTAACGGAGCACCAGGTCCTATCACAGATTTTACAGAAAGCCCCCTGCCACCATCCACAGACCTGAGGAGGAATGAAGAAATGACCAAGTGGCCTCTGGTTGATTGATACAGCAGACGTTTTTAAAGCTGTATGGTTAATTATGTGGTTGACTAAAGAATAAAATAGAAGTGCAGACTTCTAAATAGAAAAGGTATTTTCTTGGATGAGTCATTACAGAATATCCATTTAGGAATCTTTTTAAAAGATCATCCACTACTCGGTTCAATTTAATTGGATGAAAAGACTCTTATTTTAAGTTTAAAAAGAAATAATGATATGACTTTTATACACAAAGAGTGTTAATAGCAAAAGGATGCAAATATGTATTTGAAGTACTTGAATACTACTAGGGTTATTTTCAGGGAAAAACCTAGATATATATTACATTTTTTCTAGGACTATGGTATTATACAACGATTGCAGGTTTCTTGAGTGAATGATGAGTATTATTTTTATTTATTCTTTATTTTTTAATGCTTTTTAAAAATTTTATTGATGCATAGTTGATTCACAATGTATTATTTTTATTTTTAAAAATTTATTTTATATTGGAGTATAGTTGATTTACCCTGTTGTGTTAGTTTCAGGTGTATAGAAAAGTGAGTTGATTATACATATACATGTATCTATTCTCTTTAAAAGTTATTTTCCCATTTAGGTTATTGCAGAATTATTTCTAGATAGCTGATTATTTTTTAAACCTACTTTTATCATACACATAAGAATAGAC